AATCTTTGAGAAAAGGAACTAAAATCTCTATTTTATGGAATATTTTTCAGGAAGCCTCTGCATCAGGTATTCTATAGATTCCCTGAACCATATATTCCCTATTTACAGTAGTTTCAAAAATTGAATCAGGAAGGTGAAAGCGATAGAGTGGAGTGTAAGAAGGAGAAAGGAGCTGGAAATATGGAAACTTGAAAAGGAAGGAAGACCTGGGTCAGGGGTGAGTGTGGAGGGGAAGCCTTTTTCTGAAGTCCAGTTTCATGCCTGGAGTGATCCACGCTTGTGCTTCTTGACTTACACCACCTTCCTTTAGGTGGCCAGTGGAATCCAGTACACTAACTGTGTAGCAAATAATAGTGCAGCAAACAAAATTATTCAAATCACTTAAATAGAACTTTTATTGTACACACAGGAGCGACTTAGTGGCAAAGTGCTCCCTGTTTATCTTATGTCATGAATCCAGCTGCTCTACCTGGAGTTCTTGAGCAGACGCTTACAGTTTTGTGGTTAGAAGCAGTTCATTTTTGTTTGTTTGTTTTTTGTTTTAATCTTTGAGAAAAGGAACTAAAATCTCTATTTTATGGAATATTTTTCAGGAAGCCTCTGCATCAGGTATTCTATAGATTCCCTGAACCATATATTCCCTATTTACAGTAGTTTCAAAAATTGAATCAGGAAGGTGAAAGCGATAGAGTGGAGTGTAAGAAGGAGAAAGGAGCTGGAAATATGGAAACTTGAAAAGGAAGGAAGTCCTGGGTCAGGGGTGAGTGTGGAGGGGAAGCCTTTTTCTGAAGTCCAGTTTCATGCCTGGAGTGATCCATGCTTGTGCTTCTTGACTTACACCACCTTCCTTTAGGTGGCCAGTGGAATCCAGTACACGAACTGTGTAGCAAATAATAGTGCAGCAAACAAAATGATCCAAATCACTTAAATAGAACTTTTGTTGTACACATGGGAGCGACTTACTGGCAAAGCGCTCCCTGTTTCTCTTATGTCATGAATCCAGCTGCTCTACCTGGAGTTCTTGAGCTGACATTGACAGTTCTGTGGTTAGAAGCGGCCAAACAAGCAAGTTTATGTTTTGGCTGTCTCTAACCTATAGCACTAGTCATGCTGCTCGGGGTTAGCAACCACGGTGATTTAAAGTGTTAATGATACGTGACAGAGTCTTTACGCTTATTAGCTCTCTTCCTGCCTAGTATAATTAAAGCTGATAATGAGCCTTCTACAACCCTAATGGAGGCAAACTATAAAATGCTATTTTTTTAAAAAAAAAGGAAAACAATTCTATCTCATATGGAGGCAAACTATAAAATGCTATTTTTTTGAAAAAAGGAAAACAATTCTATCTCGATATGTCTAAAAAGACTTTGAGAGAGAGATACAGGCATGTAACGTCATTTATCTAGTTGCTGCAGAATAACTTGAGGAAACATGGGGAATGGTTTTACTGCATATGTTTATTCCTTTATAAACTGTATATGTTTATTCCTTTATAAACTGGGTTAAGAATTATTAGTGTTGCTGTCTTCCTTCACTGTAAAAAATGTTTTGTAAATCTACGTTCCCCTATTGGTAGGCAAAAAAAAAATATAAATTTCCTTGTGTTTTTTTGTTCATTGGCATTGGACCTTTACCATTAAGGTTTACCATAAGATTATAATGTGGGGTGTGAGTGGAGTCCTGCTTAAACAAGCAAAGCAGAAAAAAAACCCCAAACCTGTCATTGGCATTTGATTACTCCTGCAGTTTGCATTACAAGATCACTAATTACACGTGTCCCGTATGAGATGTGCTCAGGAGGTCAAGTCTGTCTATGTCTTAGGGGCAGTCAGTGCTTAATTATTTCTTCTGAAGTGTGTAGTGGCACCTACGTGTCTCTTTTGGTATGTTGCCTTACTTCTGACTTTTAATATAGGGTACTCAAAATATATTGGTGCTGAAAAAAATGTATTTTCTGCTTGGGCTGTATCTTTTTCAAATAGCTCTTAATATTTGATTTGCCTTTGTCACTGGTACTGAGCACAGAGCCTATACTTGGAGAGCTGTCTACAATGATTACAAGTGCTCTTTCTTCTGTTAACTGTTCAGTAGAGCCCCTTGCAGAGGATGTAAAGTTGGGATTAATTGCTAATCATTTAGTAATCATCAGTACATCCCTGGGATAATGGAAAGATACTATTACCACTAGGGCTTCTACTAATTTCACATATGATGTCATGTGTCTGAGCTACCTGGAGGGATGTACTCTGGCAGCAATTCTCAGGTTTTTTGTGTTGGCAGCCAAAGCTTAACATATAGTGGTGGTGTTTTCTCTGTCTTCATCTTGCCTTTACTTCCAGAAACGGTGTTTACAATAAGTTGTATAATGTTTCTATGTATTAATAAATGTATGTTTGTTTTCATTACGACTCGCTCTGTAATTCAACAATCCACTGGCTTCTCTGGGTAGTTATGGTTCAGAAGTTCCTCACCTGCACCAGTTTGTAGCCTCCCATGTGTTCCATCTAGCTGTTTCTGGATCTTAACTCACTAAAAAGTGTTCTTTTTTTTTTTTAGCCTGGATTATTTCGCTGTCTTTATGTAAATATTGCTGTGAGACAGGTGGATCTGTGATCTGTGGCAAAGGGCCACGAATCCGTGGCTACCTTCATTTTTGAAATGGCAGTACCACTGCACTGGTAGGGCTGAAAGGGGAAATTCCAAAATATCTCAGAAAACTTGGCACGTACTGACTTCTTGGTGGTTGAAACCGAATTCTAGACCGCTGTCATCTCCCCTGGTGTGTTGAAAGTAGATTGCTGGGTACCATTTACACTTGAGCTGCTATTAACTGTATGCAAGGGGAATTCTCAGTTGTTTTGGCTTTCAAATACAAATATTTGCATGCTTCTACAGTTTTGCCTTAGTTATGCAAATACCAGGGGAGGGGATATGAGCACTTTAACATCTCATAGGAAACTTCATCAGGGTTAAGATGTATCAGGAGCCATAGTTCTTTGTATAAGAGCATTCTGGATAATTGAGTTTCCATCAGGGTTAAGATGTATCAGGAGCCATAGCTCTTTGTGTAAGAGCATTCTGGATAATTGAGTTTGTCTGTACAGCAAACTGGAGGAACTCTTGATCCTGACAGAAATCAGAGAACATTCTGCTGTTATATATGTGGCTTCAGGAGAGTGACGATTTCACCCTCTATCTTGCTGTTATATATGTGGCTTCAGGAGAGTGATGATTTCACCCTCCGTATCCCTAGCTGATAGGCAAAGCCGAATGCTAATGCTGTAGAAGGGTCTCCATCTCCTGGGAAGCAGCAGAAGAAATGCAGATAATATACTTGTAAGGGTACCGAAATATGTTACAGTTATTTCACATGCTGTTTTGCACACTGTATAAAATTACATGCCCTCTTAGTGAAAGTAAAAGGTGTCGAGGCTTTCAAGCTCTGAGGGATGTTCTCGTTATAAAGCTCAGTCGTTCAACTTTCACTTAATTAGCAAGGTTTTGTATAAAAGCATACCATAGCAATTCTGGTAATTTGATTATAAATGTGAGGCCTGTGTGACACCTTTCTGCCCGTGAAGTTACGTGTAATCCTTTCTGTGTGTGGCTGCAGCTCCTGGAAGTTCTATATTAAACTCAGTTCTGTGGTTACTCGTGAATGAAATTACTGGAACAGTGTTGGAGGAAAAAGTACACGGAAGGGTTTAAGGCAGAACATGGCAAAGCAAAGGCTGCAATTATCTGCAGCTGAAAACAAGTAGCTTTTAATATGTCCATTCACCTAAGAAGGGAGGGAGAATTATAGACCACATGCTCTTTTTTCTCTTTTTCTATCATTTCTCTTCTTCTTTTCCCTTTATACAGTTTATCACCCATAATTTCAGGATGTGTTTTGTTTCTTTAAGCTGTTTTATCTATAGGCTTATGAGGTCAGTCATGTGTGAATTCTTTTGTTAGTCACCTCACCTTTTGCCTTGATGATAGAAAATTGATCAGGCCTAAAGTACAAGTTCAATAGACAACCCCCTTGGTCCTTTGTCTAGGAGAATAGCTACCATTGAAGGCCATGAGCAGGTTGCTATTAATATGACAGCCTGCTCTATCTCCCACTGTAATTTATAATGAAATACCTAATCTCCATTATTTTGATCCAAGCAGGCGATCCCATGAAAAAGTCTTTTCATCCAGTTCCCAATGGCAGTTACATGAGAAATGGCAAACCAATAATTTTTGTCAAGTTTTTTAAGCCAACAGAAATGCTTTTCCACTGCTACAGTTTCAAAAGGCACAGATAAAGCTCATTCACTGAGATGAATGAAAAAGCCATCTGGGGTTTTTCTTTTTGACTTCCTTTCCTTTTCTCCATCCTTGTAATCAAATTTGAGCAAAATCAAATGGGGCTTTCTATGAAAGTACCTTTTGTTGATCTGAACGAGCTGGTAATTTACAAAATACCCTTCCTTTGTGAGGAAGGCTAAAGAAAAAAAGAATCAGTAGCTTTTAAAGCTGGGCCTTGGTGGGACTCTAAATGCAGTGAAAGCAGTCTGTGTTGAGAGATTGAAATGCATTTCAAAGCCAGGCCTGAGTCAGGGTACAGGGAAGAAAAAACCTATGTGCATTTTATAAGAAGAAAAACCTGAATGGGAAGGGGAGAAGGGAGAGAGAGGAAAAAATCTGGATAATACATTAATCATTATTTTGGAAATTGTCTTCCTTACTGACACATACTGCGTAACTAGTGATTGAGAACTTGGATTTTTGTTCTATTATAGGCATCTCAACATTTGTCTGTGCTGCTTTAAAGTTTGAGAGGCAAGGATCCTTGAACACTGCTGGACTGTGTTTTAAATGTGTATATATATTTTTTCAACTTTGCTTTTTTTGGTTCTTTTATTTTTTTTTTAACCTTGCCTGTGAAGTATCGTGGGGAAAAATACTTGCAGGAAAGCTGAGTTTATTCTTTTTGGCATGCTAATGTTTATTGTATTTTTGCTTACTAGATTTCCTAGTGGTAATTATTTCCCATTGACTCCGACCAAAGGACCGTGTGGGCACCTAACAAATAGTAAGTTTATGCCTTGTTTTTGTTACTCGTATTTCATGATTGATGTGGAAAGCTGGAAATGTTTGATTAATTGCAAATTCTGTGCTGTAAGATTGTTGTACAAATGTATGAATCTATTAACATGGAATATTGATGTGGTTTAACTCTTCTTATCTCTTTACTTACCATAACTGTTTAGTCAAATACAGATAAGTGCATTGTTCTGTGTTGAAGATAATACAGCTTGTGAAATAAACACTAATTTACATGTCATATTCAAAGATGTGAACAAACCTAGCCCATATTTTAATCTTTTCATATTTACAGACTTGCTTAGAATGTAAAATGATCCTTTTCCACTTGTGTTTTGATTCAGGATATAAATGCATTTTGAAAACAGCTTCCAGGCTGCACAATATCAAATATCACCGGCAATTTTACAAAAATGTAGGCACTTATAGTAGAAATTCTGGGGGATTTTTCCGAGGAAAGCTGCTTGTGTTATTTTTAGCTTGGCTTATGCTGTATTGTGGTAGGAAGAGTAGAGAGACATGAATGTTACTGGCTAAGATCTTATTATTGTTGTTAATGAAGCACTAGTAAAACCACTGGCTTTTAAATGATACTTTGAAAAGAGGAACCATGGAAATAGTTTAGAACTGTGAATTTCCAGTTATAAGCTGTTTGCTTTAGATGGCATGGTTTGTGTTCTTTATGTATGTCTGTGTACAATGTTGTGATAGTAACTTAGAAAGCCTACTCCAGGAAAACAGGCTGGGATAGGTTTTTTGCTTTTTAACATTACCAAAAATCCAAAGTCAACTGTAGAAAGTTTGAGTGTGGTTTCCATCAATGAGATCCCAAATTATTTAACAAATAGCTTCCAAACTATTGTCTTTGATGGAACCTGACACCTGATTGAATTGGAGAATGTCAAGAAGCCACTTTTGTATCTGAATTAATTTCCCACTCCTAGTTGTTACTATCCTATTCACTTTCAATTTCCTACAGGATTTGTTTTCTCACATGGTTTTGAGCCATTTGCTGCCTCCTAATGACTGACTTACAAAACAGCAAATGTGGAAAATTTCCAAAAAACTTTTTTCTGGAACTATCACTGCTGTGTGTTTTGTGATTGTCCACCATTTGCCATATATATTTAGAAATGACAAACAAATTAGGGAAAATGGAAAATTTCCAAAAAACTTTTTTCTGGAACTATCACTGCTGTGTGTTTTGTGATTGTCCACCATTTGCCATATATTTAGAAATGACAAACAAATAGCTTTGCTCTTTGATGTTTTTAGCAGAACATCTGACTTTCCACCCTGAGTGCTGAATATGGAAACAAAGACAAGTAGTTGACTTTGTTTGGATCGTGTCATTTAGATAATTTAAGAATCTGTGCTTTCACAGCCTCGCATACCGGTATCATATGACACTTATTTTGGTTAAATGATTGTCTCCTCACCTCTCCCAGCTTTAAAAAATAATAATTAACCTTTCTTTGTTTACTTTTGTAACCTTCTTCCTTTATACCTTCTTCCACTTTAAGATATGATCTTCATTAAAGACTTTGTCAAACCTAATAGGTTTTAATTGATTATTTAACAAATGAAGCAATAACAAAGCACGAGTGTCCCTCATGGTTTTATCCCGGTATCAAGGCTTGCCGTCTTACTGTGTACTGTTCCTAGCACAGTGCAGCACCAGTTTGCTCAAAAACTTTGGGACCTGCCTAAATATAAATATTAATAATGATATGGGACATGTAAAGAACACGGATTTTTATCCCTGTGCGATCTTTTCCTCCTTATGAGTTCTTCTTCAGTTTTTAAGGATATGATCTTGTAAATAGAACGAGTGACTTGAATTGGGATGAAAGTGTTGAATGGAGTTCTGACTTTTCCCCCTACTATTTATGTATATTTATGAATGTGCTCTAAACTTTTCCCCAGGCTGAGCTGCCCTCAGTGACAGTACTCAGTCTGTGGTAGGATGTTTGTAAACCGCTGGAAGGTTCTTAAGCTTGGGTTGGATCTTGCAGCGGTACCTCAGCTGTGCATCATTTCAAGTTGCCAAGTCTTGAGTTTGAACCTCTCAAGCTCAAGCACGGTTTGCGTTAGAGTGTGATGAATTAGTATAATAAATTATTTGCAGTATTTATTCGAACAAATGTCCTGTATCATTTCAGTCACCTGTTGGGAAGGCAGCAGAGATTCATAGCAACAAATGGCTACTACCTTTTTTGAGAATGTGTATAATTGTGTGCTTAATTTATGTGCAGAATTATTCTAGTGTCTGATTTGAATCTTTGAGAGGAATTTACAGTAATGAAACAATAAAATGGGGAACTGAAACGATATCAAATAAATTTAAAAAGTACTTCCTCTATTAGTGAACATAATCCAGTGCAGCAGAAACTGAAGGAGGAGATGCAGGCTATGACAGGGTAGCAACACCGTGGGTGAGTCGTTCTAACTGTCAAAGTGCCTGTTGTATGTAAGTAGATAATTCTAGTGCCCAATGTTATAGTGTTTAATCTGACTGAGTTGGATTGGGATGGGAGAAGATCTTCAATGAACTTTTCAGTGGCTTTTTTTTTTTTTTTAAAATTGCCTTAAACAGTGAGAGGTGGGGACAAAGGATGATAATTGAGTCTCATGTGCCCTGTAGGGTTCTGCATTGCCTGCAGGAACCACTTTTACAGTGAGAGGTGGGGACAAAGGATGATAATTCCTGAGTCTCATGTGCCCTGTATGGTTCTGCATTGCCTGCAGGAAACACTTTTCCTTCCAGCTGAATTTGTCAGTCACTAAAAGCGTCCTCAACCTTGGTGAATATGTGTAGGAGCCTGTGGGGTAACGGGGTTCTCATAGAGCTCATAAGAAAATGTAGAGATAGGCAGTCTCACAACTGGAAGGGGTCCCTTAAAGGAAAACAAAAGGAGAAAACGGATACAGCAAGATTTGGGAATTGGAGTGAGCACAGAGCATTAAAGAGATAAGAGAAGTTTGAAGAGTGGTGGGTGGTGTTGAGATAAGGAAAGGGCATTAACACTTGGGTGTCCCTGGACCCAGACCTTCTCCTCAAGGTCCTAACCAGCGTTTAGATTCACTGTCCTAGGGCTAATGGCTGTATTCAGTTGATGTCTGTGTTCACACTGGAAAGGGCATTAACACTTGGGTGTCCCTGGACCCAGACCTTCTCCTCAAGGTCCTAACCACCGTTTAGATTCACTGTCCCAGAGCTAATGGCTGTATTCAGTTGAAAGGGATGTCTGTGTTCACACTACCCTAAAAATGGCAATTTTTTAAAGTTGATTTTTCTTACTCCATGAAGTCCTTTCCCAGACATCTCGGGATGCTTCCAAAATTCTTCAGACCTGGCTTTCAATGAGCATGGTGGTTGTCACTAAAGGGTGGGACAGTCGTGTCAATGCATTAATTACTGTGGTAATTGAGAACTGTTGTACTAATGGCATTCCTGATACACTGTGAGTTTGGTGCAGTCAGGCCTGTAATGCCTGGGTTTTTTTTTTAAACAACTCTGTGAGTTTGGTGCAGTCAGGCCTGTAATGCAAATAGAATTTGCTGGTCAGCATAAGCTGAGCGATAAATTGTGTTGTAGTTAGGGTTTTTGTGAGGGGGTTTGGGTGTTTTTGTTGTTGGTTTTTTTTTTTAAATAACTCTTTGTGGATTCACAGAACACCTGCAAAATATCTCAGAAAATTCTTTGTGTCATTTTGAGCCCCTACTTGGACTTTCTGTGTAGTCATTTAGTCAGTTTTGACTGTGGGTAGCAAACACTTTACATTATTTAAAAGGTGATACAGAAGTATTTCTGGGCTTACGTATAAATCTGTTCTTACAGAGAAAAGTTATTGTTATTGTCCAGTAGTCCAGTAATTTACTCCGTGTAATCCATTGTAGTCCATCCAGTGACTAAGAATGTTCCAGACTTTAGATAAAAAGTTTCTTGCACGATATATTGCTATCCAGGAGAGTTATGATGTCTGAATAATACGGCTTTTAAATACTTCCTGCCAATTTTATCCCTTTGTTTTGAGTGCCCAATTTAAAAAAAAAAAAATCCAGTGCTATTCTTTTAGTGTTGTTGGATAAGGAAGACTTTTTTGAAGTGACCTTTTGTTATTATTTTGTTTATTATTCAAAGATCATAAAATCTGTAGCATAACTGGGACGACAAGTTGTAGTCTCTTTATTTTCCCAGGCAGTAAAGGAGACCTGGGAGACACTCACAGGTGTATTTGTTGTTTCAACTTCTTCAGAGACTGTGTTTGTAAGAGCAGTCCAACAGCAACGTGAATGAGTTATTCTACCCTCGCCTGACAATTTGTCCTCAGACTCAAAAAAGCTGGCAGATAAGGGCAGAACTACAGGGGAAAGGAGTCTGTAACCACTCTGTGGAAAGACTCGATCTGTGATAGGGTTCGAAGGTAAAAGTCCTGCTTGTTCCAAGGCTCCTTGCTTTCTTACAGCTAGAACAGAATGCTTTTTATCTGAGAAACCTCCACTGTGCTCTTCGGACTGAGTGGGGAAGTGGAAGCTGTGCGTTCATTGACATAATGTTAATAATGTAGCCCTTAATATCATATTTGATTAACCTCCACTGTGCTCTTCGGACTGAGTGGGGAAGTGGAAGCTGTGCGTTCATTGACATAATGTTAATAATGTAGCCCTTAATATGATATTTGATTTTTTAACTGTAGAGCATCCCTTCCATTTTACTTTACTTTTCCATTTACTGTTTAAAATAGTTTTTTTTTAACTGTAGAGCATCCCTTCCATTTAACTTTAAAAATTACTCTGTTTAAAATAGTCTTGTGGCAGTCGATCTATGTAGAGGTGGACTATTTAAAGCAGTGGGCAGCAGAGTTTTGTTGGACAGTTGCTTATTCCTCCTCCTGGCAGTGGATCTCCTGCTCCCAGGGAGACCCGAGGCTCCAGGCAGCACAGTCCCAGTCCTCCTGCCGTGACGTGCAGACAAGCCACAATGCC